AAATAATGAATTGCAGTTGAGTAGAAGTGGGAATGAGGGCGGAGATAAACTTAGCTTCAAAAATGGAGCATAGACAGCCGACCAGCATTCTTCAGCTTGGTTTATCTCCGGCCTCATTCCCACTTCTACTCAACTGCAATTCATTATTTCTATGTCTGACTCCAATTCTCGGCATAGTGCGTTTTTGGTCTTCCTCTTCTCCTTTGGCCTTGAGTATTCCAAATTAGAGCTTGTCTTGTGACGCATATGAGTGCTTTCCGCAATCTGTTTCCTATCGACCTGCAACACTTTTTCTTAATTTCTTTCTCATCTGGTATCTGGTTTTTGTCTCCCACAGCAGGTTGTTGCTGATGGTGCCTGACCATCGGATCTTCAGTGTCTTGCGTAGGCAACTGTTAATAAACACCTGTATCATGTGGATGATGTCTTTCCTGGTTCTCCACGTGTCCTCTCCTTACAGTAGAACTATCTTGACGTATGTATTGAAAATTCTGAGTTTGGAGTTGGTTGATAGTTGTTTTGAGTTCCAGATATTGTTCAGTAGTAGAAATGCTGCCTTTGTTTTATCGATCCGTGTCTTTACATCTGCGTCCGATCCACCCTGTTTACTAATGGTGCTGTCCAGGTATATAAAGGTTCCCACATCGTCGAAAGTTTCTCCGTGAAGTGTGGTTTGGGTGGTGCTCTCTGTGTTGTATCTAGGGATCTTGCTTTTTCCTATACATATATCTAGACCTACCACTGTAGAGGCTGCTGGTACACTGGCCGTCTTCACCTGTGTTTGTTGCTGTGTGTAGGACAGAATAGCTAGATCATCTTTGAGGTCCAGTTCGTGTAGATGCATCCGAGCTGTCCACTGAAATTCCGTATCTTCTCTGAGATGTTGACATCTTCATAATCCAGTCAACGACCAGGATAAATAGAAATGGGAAGAATAAGCAATCTTGTCTGACACCGGTCTTCACTTGGAACGAATCTGTGGGCTGTCCTCCATGCACGGCTTTACAGTATAGTTCATCATGGGAATTCCGTATGATACTGGTAATCTTCGCCGGTACGCCGTACTGCCGAAGAAACCCCCATAGTGTCGTGCTGATCATGCTGTGAAGAGCTGTCTCGTAGTCAAGGGCTTTAATATAAAGTAATGAGTTTTATTCAGTCGATTGCTCATCGGCTATTCATCATGTAGCGATTTGGTTGGTACACGATCGATCCTCTTAGAATCCAACATGTTCATCTGAAGTTAGGAGTTCACTGAATCTTACATTCTATTCAACAACACTCTGTTGAAGACTTTTCTTCGTACCGATTATAGAATGATGCTGTAGTGTGCCGATTTCGAGGTGTTCTTACGTTAAGTAAATAGCTCGTTCAGACAATCATTACTAAATGGCGTCTGACGGTTAATAAATCACAAGATGAATTCGAAGTATTGTAAACGTTTATTTGTGGCACACCACAAAAAGGATAGCAGACCACAAACAGATCGAGCAGACACACTAGCGAGCGAATTGGCGAATGAATGAATGAAATTAAACTGTTCGTATATATACATAAGAAAAATGTCTGAGTCATCGTGATATTTAAGAGATTAATATTAAAGCGAGTAGGATGCATATGCGCGTAGGCGTTAAGCAATGCTCAGTCATACCAGCTCATACAAACCATACAATTATAAAAGCCAATGGTACATACAAGTTGTTGCTAAGCGAATGGCTTGGTTAAAGAAATTAATCGAAACGGCTTAAGCAAATTAAATGTAAGCGGATGCAAATAAATGTGGAGGCACTACAAGTTTTCTGATCCTACCGCTTTGCCACCTTTGATTTGACTGATGATCATGCTGATTTCTTCAACTGTTAGTGGCTCAACATCAACTGGGTGGTCTGTAGTTGCTGCTTCGATGTTAAAGAGTCCCTCGAAGTTCTGTAACCACCTGTCTGACTGTTTTTCAGTGTCGGTGATTGCTTTACCCTTATTGCATTTTACTGATTATCCTGGGTCTTCCACATATTATTGGTTTTCAGCTCTGATGCTCCTCTTAACTTGCTCGTTTTCTTCTGTGTATCCAGATTGTGCCCTGACTTTCACTACGCTTGTTCGGCCGGTGTTGACTGCTGTCTTCTTGTTCCTACTTTCTTTGATCTTATCCAGTGACTCAACGGTGATCCACTCCTTGTGATGGTGCTGCTTGTGTGGTGGAAACTCATGACATGCTGAAGTTATTGCTTCCTTGATCCCTTTCCAATTGTTCTCCATGGTAGTCTCCTTTCCATTGAGTAGATCATGAAAGGTCTGGAACTGGTTGCTAAGATCTGCCTTGAATTCGTTGAGTTTACCAGTATCCCGAAGAAACTCTGTATTAAGCCTTTGTGATGCTTTTTGACCAGTTATCTAGTGCTTCTTGAGTCTCAGTTTCATCTTGAACACTACGAAGTCATGATCAGAAGCTATTTCGGCCCCTCTCTTTGTTCTCCTTTTAAAAATTTAGTGACGTTGATGTGATCGGCTTGGTTCTCAATAGTGTGACCCGTTGAAACACATGTCGCTTTATGTATGCGTTGTGTGCGAACAAGGTGTAGCATATCACCATTTTGTTGAAGGCACATACATTTGTGAACCTCTTACCATTTTCGTTCTTTTCTTCCAGTTCATGTCGTCCCCTGATGTCGTTATTTCCACTGTTGTCCATTCCAACCTCGGTGTTTAGGTTTCCTACCGGAATGGACAAATCGTTTGCTGCAGCCTCTCATACAGTTCCAATATCCAATATCTTTTTCACGAGCTAGTATAAACCGATTGATTTCTTTGCTCTCGATTCTTGTCATATTACCAGGCCGGAAATCAGGCAGTTGCTGTGTGGAGGATAATAGGGCGAAAAGTCTAATGCTGAGAAGAAGAAGGTTTCAGAACTAAGTAAATGAATGGATAATTTAGTTTATTAATTGGTAGTGAAGATTCTACGACAGCACGGAAGTGTAAGCACCAGAGAGGAAGCAGAAATAATAAGCGAGATGGATTAAGTTAGTGATCTAAGGAGATGGCAATAATAACAACTAGCAGGTCTCAAGAGATGCGCGAGGCACAGTTGGGAGAAGATAATTCGTGTGTATGTGTACGTGTTAATCATGTCTCTTCTTAATGCTTCCCAATGACGTGGCTGTGGTCACCTTGGCTGGGAGAGCATTCCAAGATGCAACGACTCTAAGTGAGAAAAAGTGTTCACGAACCTGCTTGTTCGCTCTTTGATACTCAATTTTTTGAAGGAATATCTCTAAGGGAGTGGTGGTGATGCATCGGTAAGGTGCTCACGTTGGTATGGTTTGGCATATTTAATTTGTTGTACACCATAATCAGGTCACCTCTGATTCTCCTTTAACTCAGGGGGAATAATCCCAAATGCTGTAGCCTATCTTTGTAAGTTTTGTTCTTAAACGCTATCACCCATGTCGTTACTCGTCTCTGCACTCGATCCAAGAGATTTGTCTTTTTTAAGGAGAGCGGGTGCATGCATGTCTTAAACAACGTTAAGAATAATTCTGGAGTGATAGCACCAATTTGATCGTTATCGTCTGCATTTTCAACGTTTGTGGGAGCATAGTACTGAATGACACTCATTGTTATCTCTTCTTTCTTAATCTTGAAGGATGCTCAGGTGATGCTGGATCCATGAGATTCCCATCCTATCAGTGCTTTCTCTGCTTCTTTGGACAGCATCAGTGCAACTCTCCGTATGTGTGAGGCATTTTCTTCTTCATGGTCAGAGTATAACAGCATGTCACCTGAAGCTAATCTTTTTTTTCCAACCTGCGTCCAATGTGTTTCACTTATTCCAAAAACCAAGATGTTGTATTTTTTCGTTTCCTCAACAACTTGAACAGTTCTTCTGGTCTCCCACATTGTGTGGACATACAGTGTATCCGTAATAATAGTTGCTCTGGTTGTGAGAATGGTCATCGTTCTTGTGACTTCCAAAGAAACTCGGCTTTCTTCATGAGATAAAGACCCTTCAACTCTCGAGGAAGAGTTTAAATGGTTTGGATTATTCGTTCTCGTTAGCGTTTTTTAGTAGGTGTGTTATCTGCGGGATGTCTAATCCTCCTTTTATCCAGGCTTAGGACCGGCATTAACCTCAGAGGGGCCACAGGTGGAGTTTTCCAAACCAACATAAGTAGCAGTAATTCACAGCTATCAGTCTCAAAGACAACACTTTTCCTTGTGTATTTAGACCTGTGTTTATTGTGCCGAAAAAATCTATCAGCAACAGTTATCAGAGAAATGGAGATGGCTAAGCTGATGTCTGATTAGGTATTATTACTATAAAAATAGTTAGAAAATTACTTAAGGCGAAACTATGAACACATTTCAAAGAATAAATATGATTTTAATATACTACTAGACGTATTTTACTCTGATGATAAAACTATTTTAAATAATGGTACCTAAGCATCCGACTAGTGTTTCATGAATAATTTCAAGTCTGTTATACATCTTTATAACAATGATATGGTGCTTTTTTCCAGTCAGAGTCATCTACTGTGGGTTGATTAACTCTTGTAGATGGAATGTATTGAAAATTATAATCCATTGCCTCAATGAACACTTGTTCTTTGTATTATACTATGAAAAGTATTTACATTTCGATAATATTCAAGTATTTTATGATCAGCGTCCTTACTGTAGTCCTATAAAATTTATTTGATTCTTTTCTGTTGATTAACTAGCTATCCATTGTGTATAAATGTGTAACGATTGCAATCAATTCGTTTTCGCTCAACGTATTTTCCTATGTTGCTCTCAGTTATTTCAGTAGATAAAGAAAACTAGATATATCATTATGTGTATATAAAAAAATTTTATAGTAAATTAATTATCGTCAAATGGATTGAATGAATTTTTTCTCTCTACATTATTCGTGAAAGTTATGGGTAAGAAAAAAAGAATGTGTAACAATGCTCGGCTATCCACTTTCAATTGTTCTCTTTTTTTGTTTTACTTAGAGGGGAGGATGTCAATAAAACAACAACCACAACAACAACAACTACTACTACTACTACTACATCTAACGATCATTTCGAAAAATCTGAAGCATCAGTCGATTCTAGCTTACAAACAGGAATTTACTGGCATCCAGGTCCACCCCAGCCCCTGTCTGAATTGATGTACGAGTTTCGTTCAGGCAGCCCAGGAACAACCTATTTGATCAAAGCTATTTGCAAGCGTTCAGGATGTCATTGCGCTTTAAAAAATTATGAGAGTCTCATGTTATATCCAGTACCGGATTCAACGCTTGCTTCTGCAACTTGGGAATTATGGACAGCCAAAGACAAAAATCCACGTTTTTCTAATTCTTCCTGTGAGGTCCAGTCAAAATTAATTGTTTTTCGACAATGTCGAGGATGGTATGAAGTTTTGAATGAAAATCATCAACCAACTCCTCATTTAACAACACTTGAACAGGTAAGGCGCTCTAAAGCTTCAACTTTCATCGTCCGACAAGATATGCGTTGTTTAGTTGCACCACCAAACTTGATTATACCTTCCTCAGATGAAACACGAGAAGTAAATGATGATACTTCACCATATTCGGTACCACCAAGTCTAGTTGCATTGGCATGTTCACCAGAAACATTGGCTAATTCAAAACCGGACATCGTTCGCGCTGGAACACTTCTGCGGTATATCACGTACCTACCTCAATGCTCAGTTAAACGTGGGAAAAAAACTAAGGATTTAGGCCTTGTATTAGCAGTTGAAAGATCTAGTTGTTCAAAACAATCATCTATTCATTCCGATCTACTCCCGGTTAGGTCCCTTTCACGTACTATTTACCTTGGTGTTGAAGATTCTACACCTGCGGTATTTCCTCCTAAACTCTCCTTAAGTGTTATTGCTGGACCAGAAAATATTTCTGGAGTTCACTTATTATCTAGTCTACTTCGTAAATTCCGGTTACCTTTATCAGTTAGACCTATACCTTTACCGGACTCTTATAGTTATACAAGCAACAGTTCATCTATGAGGTGTCCATCACTTATCAATACTAATCCCAAAGTAACTTGTGGTCTAGTTGCAGTTCAACCGCTTTCATTTACTGAAAAACATTTTTTAAGATTACATTCTTTATATAGAGGTGATATTTTAATTATTGCCCCAGTATCTTCACCAGAACGTTTATTTTTAATTACACCGTCAATGTTACGCGATCATTCATTTCAAACTGGTTATACACATGATCCAACTTATGCTCTTTCTATGGAAAATCATCGTATACAAGCATGCAATTTTTTAGCAATTGCTCATTCTCAAGAAACACTGAATTATTTAGTTCGACATATGCAAGATATAACACGAGAACCTCGTGATTCCTATACATCACGTCAACAAGCAAAACAACGAAGTGATCTACCGCAAGCACCAGAATCTTATATGACACAAGAAGAAATTTTTAAGACCTACGATGAAATAGATGATATATACTTTTATATTCGTCATGGTTATTATCCATCAAAAATACGTAAACCAGATGATCTAACTAATAAAAATGAATCCATACCTAGTAGTAAATTAAAAACTTACAAACATTCCACTGGTTCATCACATACATCAGATGATGCAGCAACAGGCAAGATGACTGGTCAAAAAGATAGCGCTCTATCCCGTTCGAATTTGGCAACCGCTGAAGACTTGCTTGCCGCTTCACTTCATACACCTTCACACAATGACTCAACTGTCCCAGTGCAACAACCTTCTAGTTTATCTAAATCATCAAGCAAAAGTAAAATTGTCAATTCAAATCAACATAGTATTAATAATATGATCAATGCGACTTTGGCCACTTTAGCCAGTACAACATATCGTGTTCAGCCAAAAGAATATGGCATATAATACAGTATCGCTTAATAATAGTTAGAAAAATGAAAGAACTTGGAAATTTCTCTATTATACTACCAATGGAAATGATTATTTTCAACTGGGTTTTTTTTTCTCTTTGACTTTATTCTATGGTAATTGTTTATGTATGCATTCGTTCAATGGTGTAAACAAACAAATAATCCTAGTGTCTTATTCAATCAGTGTATATTCATATTCAAAACTGACAATTGTTATTATGTATGATATCCTGAGAAAATTCTGAGGGCTAATAATATAAACATTCCATACATCTATCTGTCCATCCTTTCACAATATCTAAAACCATCATTAGAATTTGTATGCTATTTTACATTTATTTTTTTTTTTGCTTCGGTAATTTGACGCTTCTGCTTGAAAATCACTGTGTTCTGTTTTTGCCTAAACCATTCCCAATGCTGCTGTCTAAAAAAACTTTCCCCAATTGCTGTGAATCTATTTCGTTCCAATTCTCGTTTTCATTAACTGAACTCCCAATCCAACCAATACGTTATTCCATCCCATTTTAATCAGTCAATTCACTCCAACGTGCATCATTCGATTAAACTTTTCGAATGACACTTAAGCTTAGACATAGTTTATGACGTGTTATGTATTGTTGCGGTTGTTTTTTTAAAACAATAAATAAGCTAGTTTTCCTATTTTCTCTTGACCAATCCTCTTTGATCAATAATAATCAAGAAATTTCTGTGTCTGTCTTTTCATGTGTAACGGATATTCAATGAGTGAAACATTTTCATCCAATCATCACAATACTCTCTAAATTTTGTACATAAATCATCAACCGTCTTGTTTTTTTTGTTTGTTTTTTTTAAATCCCATATTATTTGTGCATACATGTGTTTGCGTACAGCCTTCAATAAATGACATAAATAGTGTGTTGTTGAGTCACTTGTCTAAATTATCCTTTCTTACACAGCCTAGTTAGTTGTGTCATATCATATTTACTTTAACTGTTTTCTTACTTGCTAATCTTCATTTCATCTCTTACATTATTTTTTTTAATGATAATAATGATAAATAATGAAATTGTTGATTCGACTGGTCTGTCTTCACTCTTTTTGTGTACTTGACTTTATTTTTTTCGTATTCAGTAGTTCCAATTATGGAAAATACACATGTTATTGGGATTACACGGATCCATGCTTAGTCAATAAATGATCATTGTTCAAGTTCACTCCATCATTGTTTTTCTCCTTACTTCTTTCACTGGTCTTTATTTGTTGTATGTTGTAGAGTGTATGCTTTGTACGCTAAACTGGTGATGAATGAGTGTATTTTCTGGGCTCTTTACTTTCTATTTTTCTATATAAGATAGGAAACTATTCCATTTAATCATTTGTGTAATTAACTTTTTTTATCGACATCGTTGTTAATTTTGCTTGTGTTCACACTGGGGTTTTTTTTGTTTTGTTCTTGAATTACACTATTTGTCTTATTCGTTCCAGAATTTTATTGATTATACTTGAGTTTATGACTGGTGATATACAGTATCGTTAGGAGAAGTAATATTTTATCGTTTTAAGGTAGGAAAATGTCATATAATCAGATTATTCATCACACTATCACACACCATTTATCAAGTGTTGATTGTAAGGTTTCTACTTTGAATTATACTGTTTCTATATGAGGGTTCGATACATTAGTTAGCTCTATCCAAATCCAAATAAATTGAGTTGGATTAAGACCTACTAACTGCTAGTTATACGCTGAATATTTTACTTATAAAGGTACCACTCCATATCCGAATTCCATGTTCTGTTCAATGTCAGTCAAATGTGAGTTACAGTTAGTATAAACCATAGCATTTCCGTACAGAAATACATACACTGAGCTAAAAAAAAATAGACCAGATCGATCATATGTACAAAATTCCGAAGCTCCATGAAATATGTAGGAACATACAGAGCTGCTGATTTCATTTGAGATCACCACTTGCTGATGGTCAAGCCATAGAAGCACTGGTTAACAACAAGCTCAAGATATCTCAGTAACAAGTCATGCGCGTTGCATCAGCTACTGCAAGAATATGGAGGCAACTGGATAAGGATTAAAGGGTCAGTTACTTAGAAATGCAAGAAAGTTCTGGGCCCAAAGAAGCACCAGTGCAAACAGTGAATCCTTTGTAAACAGTTTTGTCAGTATTTAAGGAAGGAAAAACAAAAAGGTGTCATCAACAACAGCGGAGCAAAAGCACATAATTGAATGAAGTGGAGTATTAACACTGACATTCAGAATTATTTCGAAGACTACAACTACAGCAATGCGAGTTTTAAAGGTAAATATAGGAGAACTTTATCATCCAACCAAGAAGCTTAACAGGAAGGTATAGTAGACCAGGAAGAAGAAAAACCAATCTCTGAGATTCAGTACCAGCCGAACAGGTGGCGAGAAGGCTTTGAAGAGATACCGAACATACTAACCCTACTTAGCCCATATGACATCAAAGTAGAACTCATAAATTTTACCCCATCAACAATAGAATAAATCAGCAAGTTTATTAAACAAATACAGAATGGCAAAGTAGTTGAACCAGGGGATATATTCATTATCAAATTGAAGTCAGATAAATAGGTGACCATAAAGATATTTCACGTCCTCGACAGGAAAGTTCAAGAAGGAGAATGAATGCCAACGCATTTGAGAAGGAGATATTACTCTAAGAACTCAAAAAAGGAAATCTCAGCTAGTATGAAAACTACTGCTGCATCACAGTACTATGAGTACCAGGCGCTCTTCAACAAGTTGTCACTAAATCGAGTCAAGGATTCTATAGATGAGTTAATTAAAGACCAATAAGTTGACCTTCCCAATGATTGATCATGTATCCACCGAATGGCTACATAACAAATTATCTGTGAATAATCAATCAAATTGAACTCATCACTACAGACAAACTTCATCGGTGATGTGAAAGCATTTGACAGTGTGGACACAAAGACCTTTCAAACCTTCCTCAACACTATGGATTTCATCAAAGGATTGTCATTGTCGTTTGGAACTATAACGACAGGCTAGGTTTCAAAGTCGTGCATCCAATGCACTTCATAATTACATTACAATTAAAGACTGTTATCAGACAGACAAGGCTGTTTACTTCTTTTCTTTCCTTTGTAGCTTTCCTCTGTAGTTCAACAGCGGTATTAGATACAGCGAACAACTTAGACAGAGCTAAATGATTTGAACTTTACAAAGCACTCACCCTGTTATCCTAAACTCAGGAACCAATAAGGACAAAGACACCCAATGTAGAGGCGGCTTCAGTAGAAGTAGGCTTCATCATTGACAAGGAAAAAATCTTTGTTCTTAAGTACACCAGTGAGCACCAATGAAATCAAACTTGATCCCGAAGCTCTGGAAGATGTAGAAGCCTTTATTTGCATAAATAGCATCATTAGTAAATAAGAAATAGCTGATACTGATGTGACTGTATTGATTGGTATAGTATGGGCAGCATTAGTAAAACTGGAAGTTTTCTCGAACTCATAACAAGTGTCACCCAACACCGACGTTAGAACTTCTAACACTAACATTGAAATTTTCTTATTGCACCGAGTGGAAACTTCAACAACAAACGCAGTCATCACAGAAAAATTAAAAATATTTATAAACAGCTGACTATGCTAGACACGCCTGATCCATTGGCTAAAGATCTTTAGCAATAACTCACAACCGAAAAGAAAAAACCAGCTACTATCTGAAGGAGAAACCAGAATGAGACTTTGAGGGTGGATAGGACATATTGAGAAAACTACTAAACTGCATCACAAGATAAGCCCTTATTTGGAGTTCTCATGGGTGTTGATGCACAACAATGTATCAATATAGCACTGCGTTCTATGACCAAGACACACTTCCATTCATTCAAACTTATGAGTCATGTACTCCTGAATGAACTAACAGCTCAATTGATAAATGTGAGATTTTTTTAGGCATTTACACTTAGACCTTAAACAGGTATTATAAAAATCGATATAGATATAAGAAAATGTAAGGTCACATCTACTCACTGAAAGACATGATTAACCATTGAATCGTATGCCTAACATAAACCTAAACGTTTTTGAATCTTATATGACGACGTCTACCTTTTTTTGTAAAACTTAGTTCATTCATTTCATGGTAAGTTGACCTTATTTAATCTTTTGTGTTGTATGATTTATATTAATAATTATTTCTTAATCGATTGCTCAGTGATTTGCTTACGATCTAAAATGTTAGTTGTAGAGATTTAATTTATGCCCCTATAGTTAATTATTCTTTGAATATTCACCAGTATTTGAAACTTGGAATAATTCTCTAAAATAGAATTTAATAGGGCAAACAATAAAATAATTTTATTCGGTTCGATATTTTGTGGCATTCAACTTCATTTGAAGGGGTCATCCATCACTAATCGACATCAGCTAGGTAACTAGAGCAGTTAACCAAACCGTACACACAAGACATTAACCCATCAAGTGACTGAAGTCAAAAATTAAAGACAGCTAGATTCTGAATTAATGTTCAAAATGCTTCACACACATCTTAAAACTAAGAGATTCTAGACTCGTAGTACCTTACAGTGCGTGCGCATGACTCCAACCAAATCTGAGGTGAAACAATTGTTCAGTGCAGTTCAGTTCTTAAAGGTTCTCCATCTGAGGTTAGTTTTTGATGAAGATCATCTTCGAACAAAACAAGTTTCTACATCCCTTTTTTGAAAAGAAATTCCATTTTGTCAAGAAAACAATAACCTTTGTATTCTTGTAAAACATATATAATCATGTTGAATTTTCCGATAGCTTGCATCACTTAGAAATATCTTTGTAATTCAACTGATTGTAATACAGTATCTTCAAATAAACAATATTTCTCAATGTACGCAGATGTATGTGGACGAAATGTATAGCCGACTAAATAAGATCTCTCATTATTCTGACAACTGCTTAAGTGAGAAATAGCTATAAAGCGATCTTTAGTGTGTTCAGTTTAGTTAGTAATGCAGAACCATTGCTCTTTTTCTTGTGGAATTAGCTTGTTATCAAATTTAATCCAAAGTATTTCTCTAAACTATAATTTGATACTAAATTCATTTGAACAATCTGACCTATTTATTTTTAGAAATGTTACAATGAAATCTTTAAATACTATTCATACCTAAAGTCATAACTGGGTTGATCTAGTTTAATTCATACTACATAAGAAAGTTAGTTTTTTTTACTTAAAGTAAGCTCTTATTATAAACTTACATAATTTGGACACTTATTTTAGCCTACAAAGAACCAAGTGGCTAGTTCATTAAAGTTTAAGACTTTTCGGATATGCATCCTTGGCTTTAATTAGGAGGATTTCTGTTTACTTCTACATTAAATATAGGCCTCTTATCGACACTGAAGAAGTCTGTAGATCCCGGTGGTTTTCAAATCGATCCTTATCCATCAATAAGTTATTTTCAAGTCAAAGAGGTCTCTATGAACAAATTATGTTTTCTGTCGGGAGCCTACTCAAAATCTTCGAAAAGAGTGTTCTGAATCTATGGAAAAGCTGAAGACCGTTTCGTCTAATGAGTATAAAATGGCCGGGTTTCCAGAAACTTCTCAGAAGTCATAGGTTTATATTTAACACCTTGATTGGATAACTGCCTATATTCTTACTAAATTTGGTATTTTTGGAAGCGTTTTAAACATCATGACCTTCCAGAAACAAAAAAATACTCTTGTTTTCTGTACACAGACAAGCCTAAGAAGTAAAGCTTACTTTAGGAGAATTCTAAAGAACTAGTAAGTGGTTGGGAACTGATTACCAAACATTAAAGTACCAGACGTACAATTTTATCTGTTTATTTTAATTCAGACTGAAGTTCACTGACTTACTGTCCACGGATTCATGGGAATATACAGAACAATATGAATCAATATATATATATATATATATATATATATATATATATATATATTTATATACGAGTGTCAGGGAATCATTCAAGGCAATAACTTCCGTTTCATTTCATCTCTGTGATGTTTGAGTGAGAATTATGAAGTTAATGACCACTTCTCTTAGGGTACAGGGTATCCTTGTACACCATCGAAAGGTTAGAAGTAGTTTGATTAGGTTACTATAATAGTTATTACTTAGACTATTAACACAGCTCAAGCTTGTATTTGTTTACATAATTCTTATATAAAACTATAGTTGTAGTTTGTTTTTGAATTAAATCCGCTCATGAGATCTAAAATACCAATATAATTTATTCAGGTGATAAAAATCTCGTCATTAAAAAATTAGTGATAATTAGCAAACTTGTCAAGTGACTTTCTATTCGGAAAATTGAGGAAAGAAATAGATTTCATAAAGTTAGTAATGCAAAAAACACAACCATCATTTTTATCAGTAATCATTTGGACATAAATGATAACCGATAATTACTAGATGGGTATTAGTGAATATTCAGTTAGATCTCCGGTTCAC